ACTAACCATTGTACTAACTGGGACTTGTTATGAGTGAGGGGAGACTGTGCGTAAATATTGCCTTTTGTCAGTGGGATCCCACGAGCATAGACTCGCTTTCACACGACGGGGCGCGATGCGGTTACCGCTCACCAAAAGTCCGCAGTGCATGAGATGCTGCGGGTCCCGTCTGTTCTTGCTCGCGGCTCACCTGCCAGACGCGCAGGGGCCGCCTCGCGCCTCGACGATATTCTGGGGTAACCTGCGGGGTGACCGCTATGCTGGATCAGCCTAGCCGCAAGTCCCTCTGATTGACCCCGCGCGTATTAAGTCGGGCGACCGTGCACCTTGTTCCCTTCTTCTTCACGCCCAACCATTTGCAAAGGCTTCAACTCGACGCTGTGTCAAGAGCCCCGAGGTCGTCAAATCCGACCACCGTCCCTCCCTCCATCGAATCCCCCGCTCAGCGACCGTTTGGCCAAGCTCGTCCCCGCAAGACCTCGCTGAGACCCGTCTCGGAAGAACACATCACCATGTCGTCGTCGATTTCGGTGAGCTCGAGCGCGAGCACGGAGCGCAAGGTCGACCCTCGCGTGCTCGCTGCTATCCAAAAGGCATCGCCACCTCGACCGGCGGTGCTCAACCCGTTGCTGCGAATGCTCGTCTTCCAAGTGTTCTTCCTGTCCACATCGCTCGTCAAGATCCCTTGGTACCTGCTGCGCTCCATCATTCCACGCTTCCGCCTCAACCCGAACTGGAGCTTTGCCACCGCGGCGTACATTTTGGTGGTGCGACGCGTGATGCGCAACCTGATCCGCTTTGGCGTGCAGCCCATCGCGCCGCGCAAGGGTGGACTGCGCGACCGCAACCACTTCCTCGGCACCTTGGTCGCCTGCCTCAACCTTTCGGGCCCCGGCGGCTCGGTGGTGCTTGCCAAGCAGAGCATCAAGGCGCTCAAGCTCGACGCCAAGCACGGCCGCGCCGACAAGGTGTGGATCCCCCCCGCGGGTCCCGAGTACCTGGACGGCATCCTGGCCGTCAAGACGAGCCCCAACGACAAGCGCAGGATCACTACAGACGCCTACACTGGTCCCCCGCTGCTGGATCCAAAGTGGCTCAAGTGGAGCATTCGCGCGCTCTGGTTCACCCACAAGCCCGAGATTGTGCCTCCGCAGCCTCGCGCGACCACCAAGCCCAGCCGCCCGGTGATCTGCTACTTCCACGGCGGGGCGGGCGTCACCTTCAACGCCGGCGATGCGCACATGGGAATGAACCTCGCCAAGACGTTTGCACGCAACGCGGGCATCGATCTCTTCTCGGTCGACTACAACCTGGCGCCTTTTGCGCCTTCGCCGGTGCAGCTGTATCAGGCCGTGTCGGCGTACCTGTACCTGATCAACGAGCTCAAGTACTCTCCGGAGCAGATCTACATTGGCGGTGACAGCCACGGCTCTTGGATGACGCTGCAGCTGGAGCGCTACCTGCGCTCGTACAAGCACGTCGTGTTTGACGATCCGGCGTCGTTCAAGATCCCTGGCCTGGTGCTGCTGTCGCCGTGGATCGCGCCCGAGGACTTGTCGTTCAAGAGCCGAGAGAAGAACGTCGACACGGACATCATCGCGCTGAGCTACGAGGAGTGGGGTGTTTCGGCGCAGGGACTCAAGAAGCTTCCGTATCCGCTGTCGGACCCGTGGAGCACGCACTCGAACAAGTCGATCGGCGAGCTGGCTGCCATGCCGCCGTGCTTCATCGCCAATGGCGGTGGCGAGACGTTGCTCGACGAGGGTACGCACTTTGCCAACCTGATGCGCAAGGCCAAAAATCTGCCGACGTCCACTTCGAGCCAGCGCATCGTGCTCAGTCCCGGCGAGCTCAACTGCAAGGTGGTGCATCACGTCTACCCGCACGAGGTGCACGACTACTTTACCGTCGACACCGAGGTGGCCAACGCGATCAAGGTTTACAAGCAGATCGGCACGTGGATCAAGTTTACCCAGACGCTGCTTTGAGGTCTTTGCGTGCTCCCATATCATTATCTTTATTCAATCATAGCGCAGAGCCGGTTCAATGCTCTCAGGCGTGCGAACAGCAGAGGAGTTGAGGCGAGCGTCTATACGTCGAGAGTTCAAGATGCGCTGTGGCTGGTATCGTCTTCGTCGTCCGAGTCTGGGCGTTGTTTGAACTGGATGCGCTCGACGTCGTCGTTGTGCAGACGCTGCTTCTTTGCCTGTGGTTCAGCCGTTCCGGTCGCCGCTGACGATGGCTTGCCTTTGGCCGCAGCCTGTGCTTTGAGAGCCGCGAGCTTCTTCTTTTCGCGCTTGGCCCGGTTCTTGTCGGTCTTGGCTTCGTCCTTGCGCTGCGTCTCGGCGCGCTTCCGATCAAACTCTTGCTGCTCTGTCAGCTGTGCGTCGGATCACGGCCGCAGATGAGGAAAGATCAGTATCCGCTATCGATTGGAATGAAGGCTCAGTCGGACAGAGCTTTGGCACCCACCTTTTGATTCTGCTCTTCCATGATTTGGATGCGCTCAAACTCGCGCCGGCGCTGCTGCTTGTAGACGTGGAACTCGCCCGATCCCGCTCCTGCACTCGAGCCGGTGACGTTCTTCATCACGTCGCGAGGCGCTCGTATCGTCCTTTCCTTGGGCCCGCTTGGAATGTGGATCTCCTTGTCCGGATTGGCGAGCAGCTTGGACAGCGCTTGCGCTTGCCTCTCGTGCGCAGACAGCTTGCCCTTCCTGTCGGGCACACCCATGGTGAGTTCGGCCGAGTGGCGTGACGATGACGCCTCGCCGTTGCTTGGTGGTAACGACATGGTTGCGTGGATGACGTCTGCCTAGTCCATACGATGAACGTTGTCGGTGGTGAAGAGACGAGGCGAGACGGCGGAGCAAGAACATCGAATCGCCTGCCAAAGTTGTTTCCTCCACTTGGAAGCCGCACTACTTGCGCGCTAAATTGCCCAACTCTCGTCCGCCAACCTCGAATCGCGCCAAACGCACAGCACAGACCAACCTCGCGCCCCTTTTCCATCGTCGACCTTTACCTACATCATCCGCAACGCCAGCTGGATCGCATCCCACCCCTTCCGCCAGCCACACCGGACCAGGCACTCGTCACAACGCAGTGGAGCGGGCATCGCGCTCGCCCGTAGCGTCCAGTCCCACATGGTGCAACCAAACCACCCCACCTCCGAGTGGTCCAGCTTGCAAGACATCTTCTACCGCCGTACTGAGCTCTACGCGCTCAGCTGGGGCATCGACAACCTCGCAGACTATGTCGTCGCCGCCGCCAGCAACGGCGGTCTCATCGCCCTCGTGCGTGACCCCACCCGGCTCGTCTCGCTAGGTAAGGCTTCACTGCTCAAGCCCAAGATCCTCGTCTACACTGCCGCAGGCCAACTCATCGAAAGCATACCCTGGGATCCGTCGCTCAGAATCATCGCCCTCGACTTCAACGCGCTCGAGCAGCTCGTCGTCGTCCTCGAGGAAGGCAGCGTCCGTCTATATACCCTCCTTTCGCCCTGCCCAGCTTCCGTCGACGCTTCCGCTGCGCCTACCACCTCTCGCAAGCGTCCCGTCCCCATCGAAGCCACGTCCAACTCCTACTACACCCAACACTCGCTCGGCGTCGAAGCCACCGAGACCGGCATCCTCGATGCTCGCGTGTGGCCCGGCGGTGTGGTTGCTTTCGTTGGTGCACGTCGCTTCGTCGAGTGGCGCTTCCCCGGCCTCGACCTCGACGCAGAGCAAGGAGACTATGCAGGAGCCGTCAGCCTCAGCGGCGGAGGCGAGTATGGCTTTGTGCTTCCTTCGTTCGACGACGATGCTGTTCAGATCCCCACTCCGGAGCTGCTTCCGCCATTCGACCAGTCCAATTCAAACTCGCCGCAGTCGTCCTCGCTCCCTTCATCTTGGGCAGTGCTTCCTCCCAACGTCTCGCAATCGGGGCTCACCACCGTCCTGATCGCGCAAGGCCAGACTCTACTCTCCCTCACACGCTCCGCAGCCGGTCCCTCTTCAATAGACACTGCATGCCAAGACATGCGCCTCTCCCGCGGGCCTTTCCACGTCGTCCGTCCTTCGCCCAACGGCAAGCTCCTCGCTCTCATGACCGCCGACCTCGTCCTCTGGGTCGTCAGCTCAGACTTCTCCAGAAGTCTTAGCGAATTCGACATTCGTGCCTCCGAAGCATACAAGGACGCCTCCCTCGTCGACGATCCTTTCCAGTCCCTCAATCCTTCCGCCACGAGCTCGGGAAAAGGTGGCATCGGCGGCAGCGGCGTGCGCTCGGTACAGTGGTGTGGCAATAACACGCTCGCACTGGCGTTCAACGACGAGGTCGTCATGGTCGGGCCCTTCGGAGACTCGATCCGCTACCCCTATGCCGGTCCCACCCACTTGATCACCGAGATCGATGGCCTGCGCATCATCGCTTCCGATCGACACGAGTTCCTTCAGAAGGTCTCGGACGTTTCCGCACGCGTCTTCCAGCCCGGTTCCAACGATCCAGCCGCGCTCCTTTTCGAGGCGGCCGAACAGTTCAGCGCCAAGAGCAGCCGCGCAGACGAGGGCATCCGCGCCATCTGTTCCAGTCTGCCAGACGCCGTCGACACCTGTCTTCGCGCCGCCGCGTACGAATGGGACCTCTCGTGGCAGAGGCGCCTTCTGAAAGCCGCCTCATTCGGCAAGAGCTTCATCGAGCTCTACGATCCCACCGCCTTCGTCGACATGGCGCGCACGCTGCGCGTCCTCAACGCCGCACGCAACTACCAGATCGGCATCCCAATCTCGTACGAGCAATACACCGCTGCGGGTCCCACCGCCTTGCTCTCGCGACTCACGGCACAGAACCACCACTTTCTCTCGCTCAAGATCGCTCGCTTCCTGCACATTCGCCCCGATCCCATACTCAAGCACTGGGCCAGAGCCAAGATCGCGAGAACCAAGCCGGCTTTGGGTGGCTCGTCCTCTGCGGCTGCTGCTGCTGCCGAAGAGCGCCTGTGCGCCGATATCGTACGCAAGTTCAGCATCGCCACCTCGTTGGTGGAGCGCGTAGGCGAGCTGGGCGGTCCCGAGGACGACGGCCTTGTCTCGGCTGGTCCAGCCGACGCCGCACCCGCCTCAAAGGACGCAGGCTCTGTGGACGCCAACCGGGCGGCCTCGGTGAGTTTTGCCGAGGTCGCCTGGACGGCTTGGAAGGCTGGGCGCCGAGATCTTGCCACGCGCCTACTCGACCACGAGGCGCGGGCAATTGACCAGGTGCCGCTCTTGATGAACATGCGCGAAGACAAGCTTGCGCTCGTCAAGGCGATCGAGTCTGGCGACACGGATCTGATCTACCACGTGCTGCTCCGCCTCAAGAACCAGCTCTCCCGCGGCGACTTCTTCCGGGTTGTACAAGCGCCCGTTTCGGATGCGCTTGTTGCGTCGGGTGCTCAGCCGTCCGCACAGTCTCGAGGGCGCGCGAATGCGGAGCTGGCTTCCACACGTCAGTATCTCGCCCTGGCGTCGAACCTGCTCGAGGTGTATGCAAAGGAGGTCGACCGCGACCTGCTCAGGGACTTTTACTACCAGGACGACCGCAGGACAGACTCGGCCATCCTCGCGCTCGAAAAGGCCAATGCCATGCGGGATGTCTCGGAAACCGAGATGCCAGACAAGATCTTCAACCTCAAGACAGCCATGAAGTTCTTCAGCGAGGACAAAGAAAGAGTGCTCGAGGCCAAGGTACGTTGTTATGAATCATGTGCCGTTCCAACCGCGGTATCGTGCTGAAGCTTTCACTTTTTCGCTGTGTATAGTTGGTGGACGAGCAGATTCGGCTGCTGGCATTCCAGCAGGCTCTGGAGAAGGAGGATGGACACCGTAGCCAGTTTACGGGACTGTCGCTCAACGAGACGATCCGCCAGCTGCTCTTCCGCAACATGTCGAAGAAGGCCGATAAGTTGCGGTCCGACTTCAAAGTGCCGGACAAGAGGTACTGGAACATCAAGCTCGACACGCTTGCTCAGAGCAAAGACTGGGATGGTCTGTGGAGCTTTGCCAACTCGAAGCGCTCGCCCATCGGATACACGCCGTTTGTAGTCAAGCTCGTCGAGCTCAACCACGTGCAGGAGTCTATGCGCTTCGTGCCAAAGATCCAGGACAAGTCGGACCGAAACGCATTCACGTCGTATCTCTCCCGACTCCCCAGCCAGATCGTGGCCAACCAGCTGTCGGATCGATTCAACGAGTAGCGCGCCGACAGCGCAGCAGCTTTCACTCGATGTACGTTTTCCAGGCAATTGTTGAAGCAATTCTATTGCAGTGCGAGGCTTTCATTGACCGACTAGGAATGAGCCCTTGGTTGTGAGACAGGCGTCGCAGCGCAAGGCAGAGGCCGAGTTGATGAGCGTACAAACTCGGCACGACCAGGACTGCGTCTGATCCAGTCGAGACGACAGTTTGGGCGCGGCTTTGCGCGCAGTCTTGCTCACCGAGCTGCTTTCGTCGTCCGAAGAGAGGATCTCGATTGGGTTGGATCGTGTGGCACTTCCGACGCTATCCTCTGCAATGGAGCTAGGATTGGTCAGGCGTGCGATCGAGCAAAAGTCGAGCCAGTCTTCGTTTGTGGGGCGCATGGTGCCGCCCTGCTGCAGCTCGTGCTGGCGATACAAACGCGCTCTTTCCAACCTCTGCTCTTGGCTCTCTTTACTCGCCAGCGTCTGGTGCGGGTGTGAGTCGGGCTCTTGTTTGACCCGACTGGAGCCAGCGAGCCAATCTTCCGCCTCGCGCTTCGTCACGGACGCAGATGATCTCACGCTCGATTCATCTTCGGACGAGTCATCTAGATGAATGACCATGCCGTCGTCTTTGGTATCCTCCTCGTCTTCGGTCTCGGTCTCGCTGTCACCGTGACTGCTACCGGCCTCCTCTTTCACATGACCTCCGCCATCTACCGATGCGCTCGAGCGGGCCGAGCTACCTATTGAGTCCCGCTTCTCGTTGGGCCAGAACGGCTCTTGATTGGTGAGTGGCTTGACGGTGGCCTCCTCGGTCTTGAGAGCGTTGAGACGGCGCATGGCAGCCTGTGCTCTGAGCTCGCGAGCCGAGGCGGTCTGTGTGCGCTTTCGGAACGTCGAGTTGGAATCTTGCTTGTAGGACGAGTCGAAAGCCGAGGCTTTGGGCAGATGATTCATGCCGTCCACGCGAGAGCCCGAGCCGGGTAAGGGGGCCTGCACGCGTCTCCCACCTTTGGTGTTGGGCGCTGTCTGAGCTCCCGTTTGCAGGCTGGGACCCTTGAAGCCTCTTTTGCGCGGGGCCGAGGCGGCGTTGGTGCGACGACGTTTGTTGCCTTGCCTTCGACTCGGCTTGCTTCGAAATGCCCCACCACAGGAATACTCGGGTAGGCCCTGCAAGCTGTTGAGACCGTCTCCGGCAACAAAGCCGTTGTCTTGCAGGCGTTGCCCCGCCGACCAGAAGCCGTCACCGTAGTAGCCGCGTGCCTGGAGCTCCCTGCACTCGTTGCGGAGTTCGCGGTCGAGCTTTCCGTGCTGGGACGGAATGTGATTCATGTACTTGATGTGAGCCAACTCATGGCAGAAGACCATCAGGACCCATTGCAGAGGAGCAAAGGATCCATCTTGCCGCCTGAGCACCAGCTCGACCGTCTCGCCATTGTTCCAGTTGCGTCCGGCGAACTCGCGATTCCACTCAAACTCCTCAAGAGAGTTGATCTGGAAGCCGCGGCTCTTCATCACCGGCTGCACCTGGGCAGCCAGCTGCAAGAGCCTGTGATGAGCCTGCTCGCTGTCGGCATATCGAGGCAGCGCTGTGATGTAGTTGATCTGCTTGTTGCGCGAAGTGTCGGGATCATTGAGGCGGAGGTGTACCATACTGGTCTCGATGTCTCGCACTACGCCATTCTGAGGCGCGCTATAGCATTTCTATGAAGCGTCTTCTCGCGTCGAAGACTGCGGATGTGGTGGTCTGTACGATCCAGGGATGATTCTGAACGGCGTGCAACTTGCCGCATTGACTCAGCATCAAACAAGGCGGGTGTGGAGGCTCGAGTCGCTGTCCGACTCCCGAAAATTTTGTTCTAGGGTCGGACGCTACAACCTAACAGCCTAAACAATTCCGCAGCGTTTCTTCCAGGGTCTCGACGGCTTGAGCTAGGTATGATTCGGCGATGATATCGGCGCAGGCCAGCAACTTTCTTCGAACTCTTGACGGGATCGGACAGATCTACGAGCCGATCATGGAGTGGACGCTTGGAATACGTCTCTACCTACTGCACGGCCGAACCAAGCCGAGATTGCGCTTGCTGCTTGGACGCTTCTCCGTTCTATGCCCTTCAACTGGGTGTCGAGATTCACGGTGAGCATGTATCGAGGCGCGGATATGCACGCAATGCATTTAGCGATCAAGTTTCACGGATTGTGACGCTGTCCTTGCCTCAGACAAGATTGGAGCGTGGAAGACGAGATTTTGGGCTAGGGTGGTAGCATGAGAGTGCACGTGCCATCGCGGTGCAAGGAGGCGGTGCAGATGCGATGGCGCGCTGCAGACGGAGCGGCGGACCGCTGCGGCAGTATAGCGAGTAAGTCCGACGAGGCAAACCTGGGACGGACGATCGAGGCAGGAGCGAAAGGTGGCCGAAGCCGAGCTCGGTTAAGACGCCGCGTAGGCCAGGAGGGAGGCGATGCGAGGGCAACCGAATGCGCCCAACGGCGTCCAAGTGCAGCGCCGATGCAAGCGAGCGAGTCGTGCGCGAGGGGACACGCATCGTGCAGCCAGCCTGTTGTTCTGGACGATCAGCTGAGAGCAGCCTCGGCACACAAAACGTTGTCGTCGCGGTGTGTGAAAAAAAAACAACCCCCTCAGCAGAATGCTTCAGCCGAGAGCCTGGACCCTGTGTCATTATTTTCCTTGGCCCCTCGATGCAAGACACGACGAGCGGCAGCAGCGTATTGTCGAGGCTCACTGACGCTGCCGGAAAGTGGTGGGTTTGGATGGCACTCGTATGGATGATATACAGTAACTAGTAACTGAGCATCGCAAAGCGAACGCAGAGCGAAACTCAGATCCCGAGTGGCAGCATAGCCGAATCGCTACGCCTGCTGCTTCTCGGCTGCCGAATTTTTTGAGACGCCCATCGGGATCGTGGGAAAGTGCAGCCCATCCGCTCGATGCCAGCTTGCCCTTCTGTGCATGCCGAAGCGCCTGAGGAGCGATATTCGAGATCCACCTTGACAGAGGCCGTAGGAAGCGGGACGGGCGCCAGGAACAATGGCAACAGCCGACCGATTTGGCCGAAGCGAAAATGACCGGCTCCCAATCTCGTAAACCAAGCTTGTTGGAAGCTGGAGCCGCGACTGAGCGTGGCATCCCTGAGCTGCTCAGGGCACGCCATTGCAGACGCCGAAAGTGCAGGATTGAGAGTTGGATTTTAATTTGAGCGTGGTGCAGCAAGGATCGATCGGCGCCCTAGCTGCACCATCTCGGCTACGCTAAGACAGTGGTGCGGGTCACTGGCACCATGGTACAAATGGTACAAGGACTGCCGAGCCTGGACCGATCCAGGCGCACGGATATGTGGTGTTTGGAACGGTTGCGCTCGGCAAGGTTGTGCAGCTGACAGTGCAGCTCGAAAAAGCCCACAAGCAGGAGTCGCGGCGCGCGCCCCTGCGTGTGAACGTGTGGCTGCCAAGGCGTTGGGTGCGAAGCTAGATGCTCCCACAACTCACGCTGCAGCGGATTATGCTGACGGCAGCGTAAATAAGACGTGCGAATGGGACGGGAAGGATGCTGCGAGATCTTTCCTTGGACGCTTGGCAATCATCCTCCAAGACCGTCGCGGACGAAACAAGGTTTGCTTGGCTTGGTTTTCGCGAGCCCTGCGTGGCCCTGCGTGCGACTGCATATTCCTCAAACCATCGGTCGGCTCCGCTTTTCCTGCGCCCTTGGGCACTGGATTGCAGATTGCAGACGTGCACTCGCCTATAGCTCTCTCGGATGGCTTTTGGATTCCAGTATTGATAAGCTCGCCTGAGCCTCGCAAATTAGCCGAGTCCGCCGCCCTGCATGGCGACGCCTCCAGCTGTTGCATTCCTGCCCACGCTCATCCAAGCCTCGCAACTTTGTTCGGCCACCTTTGGGCGAGGGCGAGTTCGGCACGGGCTCTACTCGGCTCGCTCGGCTGCATAAAAGTATGGCCGGTGCCAAAGGTCGCTTCGGTTGCCTGCTGATCGATTGATGGATTGAATTACAAGGCAAGCGAACGGAACAATGCTCTGGGCGAACGCAGTATAATAAAATTCAGTGGACCCTATTCTTCCAAGGGTCCCAGGCAGGCCGATGGCCATTGTATGCACTCCGAACTCGCGGGGCGGATTGACCGTTGGAGGACGAGGTGTTGATTGCGTCAGCACAGGCTCGCTCGGGCACAGTCCACCGTCGTGACGCGACACTCGCAGACCACCCGTCACTCAAGATAGCTGAACTAGGAGCCCCGACCTAACTCGCATGCTGCTGCTGGTGACCTTCCTCGTCCAAGCAGATGCACTTGGTTTGGGGATTCGGAGGCAAGGCACGCATGTGGATGCTCACGAGGTGGCGCGGCATTGGCTGCCGAATCGGGCTGCGATTCGCTTTCGGTGTCGGGATGAGCCGCGCCAAGGGCATCAAGATGGCCGTTGCCTGCTTCTGCAAGTCCTCCTAACCTTAATTTCCCACGAGCTTGCCGAGCACCTCTCTCGGTCGTCCCCCACGCATTCGGGCAGAGGCCTCGGTTTTTTTTTCTCTCTCTCTCTCTTTTTTTTTCCCGTTTTCTTTCCCTTGTCCCTTTTTGGACCAATTCCCCTACAGTAGGTGGCGTGAGGGGTACAATCTCCGCAATCTGGCAATTCGGCTACTGGCGGGCCAAGACTAAGCGAAAGAAGCGTCCCAGTCGACACGCTCTGGAATCAGTCTCAGCTTGCAATAAAGTTCAACCGGCATCGTGTGCGGGTTTCAAGTGCCGCTCGCTGGCTTCGGTCCATCCGTCATCGACTGGCAAACTCGCGGCGCTCCAAACGACTTCGGCTCATCCGAGTGCGTTCCAGCACCGGCCAAGGGGGCGTCTGCAACAACTCGATAGCCAGGGGCGCACCCCACGCCCTCGATGCGCTGCCAACGGCTTCGGCGGGTCAAGCCAACAGTCATGCCTCGGTGCCTCGGTGCCTCGGAGCCTGGGTGGGAACGATGGTCACACGTCTCTCTCACACCGAGCCGGCACGCAAAGTTTTCTGTGCGGTTTATTTCCAGTACTTTTTTAGTGCAATTTCGCATCTTGGTGGACGGAATATGCACGAGATCGAAGGGTCCCGACTCATGCACAGACGTCAGCGAACGACGACCGAGATGCACTCGACCAGGCACAAAGCGGAGATCCAGCGGCGCATCACGACGTAAATTTACTCGTGCTCGGCCCGGACGAGCTGGTGGGAAGCGAGACTGGAGCGCACCGGACCGCGGATCCAGACCCTGACCACCGATGGAACCATGCATCCAATATGCCTCTCCCAAATTCCGCCCAACTCAGCAAACTCAGCAAAGCATGCGAACGTGTGTGCGTGTCCAAAGGATGCCCAAAACAATACCGGTGCGGCATTTTACGGTACCGGACATTGGAACTCGTGCCTCGACGCCACACTCGATGATGCCACTGCACTCCTCATCCATCGTCAATGCCGACGGAGCAGGCTGGCTTGAGCGAACGCCATCTTCGGCGCCGCAGCTTACCTGTCTTTGTGGCTTCGGCGGTTTTACGTTATTATAATCTGGGTTTTTATTTTTTTTCCCCCTCAAATTCGAACTTTCATTAGAGGGTTTTTTATTCCACACACCGGCTGCTGTGCCCAAGCTGGCTTGCAGGTCCGCCTGGATGGGAAGCCGCTTCTTCGAGATCCGTCAGTGGTGAAGAAGATGAAGAGGGAGAAGATGAAACTGATGGTAATGATGGTGACGCTGCTGCTGCTGCAGTGCAATGATCAGCCGGAGCTCGCTCGCCGCGTTTCAGTTGTGCCTGTCCTTTCGATCTGCGATGCACTCGAGCACGCTGCCAGAAGCTTACCGCATAAACATGCAAAAAACCCTGGTGCGCATGCAGCACGTCAGCTCGGGTTGGCGTCCAGAGCGTGGCTGACGAGCCTGACATGTGAGCGTGCATTCTTGGTTGGCGAGATTCTCCGGGGCGTTTTGCCTTGCGACCCGCTGCAGCACCTTCCGGCTGCCTGCCCGCGGTGGACCGATTGTGTGCTGGTGCGCCGGCAACATGCTCGGCCTTGGACGTCGGGTTCATCGCGCCTCTCGCACATACTGCGTCAAGACGCGGCGGGCATGGCCGTGCGACAACGAGCGAGCCGTCCAACGCAGCCCGGGCAGCCCGGGCAGCCGCGTCGACCGCGTCGTCGGCCTCGTTCGCAATGCAAATCCATCCCGAGCCGAACAACAGCAAGACAGAGGCAGCTGAGACCAGGCTACAGCGATCCACTGCACTACCCACAGGCTCTCGACCTTGTCTTTGCCGGGCGAGCGTCTAGACCACAACACGCTGCTGCGCTGCTGCATTGCTGCCGCCTGCCCTCCTCCGCCCTCGTTCCGCTTCGCTGATTCTAGCTCGCTCCGGCTCATCTTTGCTTGGCGTCGACTACCGTCTTGTCATCTCGCCCTCATCTACAGCAGCATAAGCAGCATGCGCTCCGGCTCGTGCCGCCTTTCACCTCGCTCACCGTCCTCTGCTAGCTTCCTTTCCTGCGCCGATTGTTTGGATCTCGGCGCGCGACGGTCTCGACCCTCTCACCGCCTCGGTCTCGCTCGAATCTAGGCGCTTTAGATCGTATATGCGCGAACCCTACTACCGCATCGCTCGTCTCTCGTCTGGACCCTACCAACTCTCGGAAGTGTCTCTCGCTTGGTCGTTTTGAAGCAACGATACGTCGCTATCTACTCCCGCCTGCCTCCTCCATGCATTTCCGTATAGCACATCCTCCCTCCTCGTCATCTCCTCAGCCACCAAGCGTTCCTAACGACACTCTCCGTCCGGTGTTTCAGCCGAGCCGTGCTGCAGGGCCCTCCAATAGCCGCGTCCAGCCGTGTTTCCGCCGCGTCTCTACACCAGCTCCTACATTGTGCGATCATCCGCTCGCTCCGGCATCGTTCCGACAATCTCGGCTGCACTTCGGTTACCCCTCCCAGCATTGATCTCGTCGACCTGATCAAAACCAACGGCTCTCCTTGTACACTTGAACTCCCAGCGTCGCCTCTCTCACCATCTCTCCATCCGGCCAACCCATCCGACCAGTCCAGTCTTGGCAGCTCATCAATCTTCCTATACTTTGCCAGATCATTGCGCTGCTTGCGCTGTATGTCGACTTGCCAGAATCTCCCCCGTCTCACGGATGCTATCCACCCATTCGTGCCAAAAGACTACCTCGAACAACGACCACCACTCTTGCACAGTTGCGCCACCTTAGCGCGCTGTTCACAGTCCGACTTCATCCTCGCCTCTGGCATTGAGCAGCTTCCCGCTCAACGTTCACTTCGCTCCGACCGCACTGCTTCCCATGACACGTCTGCACCTCGCGCTCGCTCCATAGCTCCTAGTGGTAACTCGGCGGCAGAGCAGCCCTCGGTCCACTTGATCACCATGCAGCAACGCACCGAGGCAGCGAGAGTGACCCTGCCGCCCCTCACCGCGCTCACCTCTTCCATCATCCCAGACCAACGACGTCACCTTCGGTCCCCCAAGAACGTCGTGCCAAATGACCTCGGCATATTCGACCGCCCAGGGTCGTCGCACGAAGACGAGACGTTACGAGCCGACCTGAAGGCCCCCAGCGCAGGCGCAAGCTTTTTCCGACCTTTGTCTGATCGCCGCCATCCTGCCGACAATATCGCCACTTCTGCGTCCCAATCCATCTCGAACTCTTCGTACCCGCCGACGAGTGACAGACCGCTTTCACACAGCTCGGCACCAGAACCTCCATCCTCGCGCGGTGCGCACCAATTTCAAGTTCCACCGCCATCCATGCTGCATACCAGCCGCGCGCCTCTGGACTCCGGCCGCCCCCGAGCTTATTCGTCCCCTCACAGGCATAAATTGCCCAGCCAGGAAAGGAGGTCGTCCCTTGCTGCCGACCATTCCGATTTGGATCGTCTCTTGGACGGTCTCATCTACGTGCAGGACATCAACAGACGTCTCGGACTCAGCACCGGGCGCCCGCCGTCGCCGTCAATCTTGCGAAGCTCCGAGGCTCTGCGCATGTTGCGCAACAACATTCAAGCAGAGCTTGAGTGTATGGCCGAGTTTTCCCAGAGCCGCGCACAGTCAGTCGCACAACACCTTGAGATCCCCTTTCCTTCATCGACTACCTCAAGCGCACGTCGAGATGGGTCATCGCACCAAGGCGCCCCTGCGATGACGCGGCCGATAGACCCCCGCCCTCCCTGGGATGCTTCTTGGCCCGCTGTCGACCCCGCAGAGAGGCCAACCTCCTCCCTTGGACGACTCACCCTGGAGGATCAGCGCCGTGGAATTGCATACCGGCATCCTCTTCCAGAGCGCGAGGTGGAATTCGAAGATGAACCTAGCGAGCTGCGCGCGAGCGGCCTCAGCATGCATGCCAACCACATGATCCATCACGACCCGACGCTCCGCTCGATCTCTCGATCGGCCTCGTTCGAACAGCCCCGAGCTGTTCAGCGTCGTCAGGCCGATCATATCCACTACGACCACAGCACTTTTCCGGATCCGTCCCGGCCAGGGATGGAATACAGGTCACCGCACGACCACTCGATTCAGCACGCCTACGCGCACGGTGGGCCAACGTACCTTCCACATGCCCAGGAGGCACGTCAACAGCAGCAGTTGGAGCTCTTGGATCGCAGGAGACTGACCGGCAAAGGCATGGTAAGCACTACAAGTCAATTTCCCTTGTTGACTTTGCTGAGCACGTTCTGACCATCTCGAGCGTCACCCCATCATTTGCTTCGTCTGACGAACGACCTTGTTGCAGAAGAGGGTCAGGAAACGCAAGAACGAACACCATCAGGAGTGTCTTGGATGCCAGGCAAAGGAGACACCCGAGTGGCGCAAGGGTCCAATGGGTCCACGTACCTTGTGCAACGCTTGCGGACTTCTGTACGCCAAGATCTCCAAACGGAAGCTGCAGGAAGCCGAAGCAGCTGCCAAAGCTACTGGGAGGACTGCAGAGGAAATCGTGCGCGAGCGCGAGGAATCGCCAGGAGCCAAGCAAGCTAGCCTGGAGGCTTTGCGTGCGGAGCTCAACGTAGCCAATGGAGCGCGTCAACGCGCAAGCACCGCCTCCTTCCCCGCCACCTCGACCGGCGTCCCGTATGGCTATCACTTGGAGCCAGCAGCTACGCACACAAGCGACCCCTACACTGGCCCGAGCGAATCGACACGCCCAACCTCCCCTGGTCATGCCCGGCTGGCCCAGCCTCTTCTCGATGTGCAGCCTTCTCGACCTCCTCAGGATTATGATCTGGCTTTTTCGCACGAGCGAAGGTCTCTTCATCATGGTAGCCTCGTGCTCAGCTCGGTCGACCCAAATGGTACGGCAGATCTTAGAGATTTGCGCCCTGTTAGCAGCAGCGGCATGCGAGCACGTCCGGCCGCTCAGGTTCCACTTGATGCTCCGCGAAGGTGGGCAGACGATTCCTACGTGGGAACCGCTTCGGCCGCTCCGCACGCGCCAGAGAATGTCGATCGCTTCGTGCATCCACAGAGCACATTGACCCGAGGCGGCTATCCGAAGGAAGGCGTCAGGGTAGCATCGGATCACTCCGCGTTCCGTGACAGCAGCCCACCTCTGCTGTCGTCATCCTCCTCCTCTGTCGCCTTCAGAAGAGGATCTTCGGCGGCGATGCTGGAAGACAGGATGTACGGGCCATTTTCCACGACCGCAGCTGACCAACGCGAGCGTCGACATGAATCGCCTTCGTTCGTCACGTCTTCACCCTCGCCGCCTCAGCGCTACACCAGGCAGCTTCCTCCACAGCCTTTGAGTGTTCGTCGCCATCATCCTTACCTGTGACTGTACCACTTGCAGCACAAATGAACAATGTCACCGTCACGAAAACGAAAGCGGGGTGCTGTACCAGCCTGCCTTGCCCTAGCATCGCGGCCCGTGACGTACGTGCGGGGCCTGCGATGGTGGGGCCTGCGATGGTTGAGATAGGTTGCCAGTTCCTGCCGACACGGTAGGAGTAATTGGTCGTGATACGAATGCGTGATGGTGGCCGATCTACAGTGTATGCGAGCGTGAGAGGGAGTCTAGCTGTCTGAGTGAGCGAGCAAAAGGTACGTGCGTCGTACTCCTGATTGGGTGTGTGAAGCGACGCCTTGAGGGCGCGCATGGGGTTGGTGGGGGCATTCGATGCAGGAACCGGGCCGGAGGAGCCGGAAACCCACCAACAGTAGCCTGATCTCTCTCGCAGCCTAAAACGAGCGATTTTCCTTAGCTTTCCGCCAGATTCGCGATGCTGAGACAGCTGTCAGTACCCTCTGTTTCGCGCACGGGAGCCACAAGGGGCCTCTCACTCCACTGAGGTCAACTCGATAGACTGAACGCAGTGCTCACTGAACGGAACCTCAGTGACAAGATTATGGTATGCTTGGAACATTATATGATTTCACCTTCAGCCGTCACCAGTAATTTGTAGGTGTGTTGCCCGAGTGGTTAAGGGGTTAGTCTTGAATTTATTGAATGTTCAATGGCGTCTCGTGCGCCGTTAACTAATTCACTCTGTGATCGCAGGTTCGAATCCTGCACACATCGCCAATTTTTGGCAGTGGACTTTTTGTTGGCGCGCCTTGAGAATCGCTAGAAGAACTCCATGGTGAAATGTTGAGCAAGATCTCACGCGAATTGAGCGAGCGATGGCGATTTCAAGAGCTCACGATGGTGGTTTCCAGCCGCCTGTCGAAAATTGCGAGAAAGTGTTTATGATGCCCTAATTTTTAGGACTCAATTTATAAGAGTTGAGTCGCACTATAATCATTCGACCGAAGTTGTGGGAGAGCAGGCTGATCTTGTAGAAGAGCACCCCTCACGATGCGCCACACAAGTGTCGAGGCTGAAGACAGCAGGTAGCGCGAAGCAAGTCCGCGTGAAACACCAGTACTTGTCCGCCTCTTGCGCAGTGCCAAAACTCTAGGAGACTCTTTGGCCTTGTGGTGTTTGCTGCCGGAAGGAGGGCGAGAAACACTGCAATGTTCGCGAACGTCAAAAAGGCTACAGACAGGTAAGTGAACGAGGCGGCATCTACGGCGAGGACAACGAGAAAGAAGGGTGATCCCTAGGATCGCACACGCAACAAAGAGGAAGCCGCTGAGCCCCCGAACAAGATGTGGGATCGGCAGGCTGCAGATATGCTACCCTTCCAGCGCGCTCCAGGCAAGCAAGAGATTGGAACGAAGCTGAGAGGAAGCGGCCGTGAGACGGGCAGAACGACGGTCTCATAGCATTCCAGTGGCGATGACGGAACTTTCCGCTCTGCTTCTGCGGAAAGGATCGCACCTCTTCGACCATGCCTGTAAGAAAAGGGGAGGGGGGCGGGGTGGGTGTTCTGACTTCTACGGAAAACCTCTGAGCTATAGCATCAAGTGCGGGGTGCGAGATGTCGTGGAGCTGAGAGCGAAGCGGCACTGCGACACTTGCGAAAGCGTTCAATCGCTGACAATGGATCCATCTAGCTCGGCGCCCTGTCCTTCTGCGAGACACATGTCCACGATTCGCAAATTTGACGGCAGACAAGCGACGTTGTTCAGCTCATTGGTCTCATCATTGTTGCGATCGCAGAGCGAAGGAGCGGAGTGGAGCCGCAAGGCGTCCCGAGCAGCTCAACACCACGGAGCACTAGCTCGCATCCTTTTGTTCCCTATAGGTCTGTCTCACCGAGCAAGGAACTTTCCGGAGCATGATGTAGGAGCTTTCCGATTGGCATGGTGGGCTAGCGAAATTAACGGCAAGAAGAGGCTTGCTAAGCAAGTGGGGTCGGCGTCGCTAGGCTCCGGTGTTTGGCTGCAAGCATGTGGGAGAGCGGAACAAGGGAACCCGGGCAGGCGCAGGGGCAGACCAACGAGGAAGAAGGTGGGGGTGGGAGAGATGGCGCGAGCGGAAGCGGAAAGGCTGCTGATGTGGCAAACCGCCAACCAACCAAAGGCTTCGAATTTGTGGGCCTTTGACGAGCTGTCGGAGATGGGACCGGAGGGCGGACCGGCGAACCCCACTGTGAATACATGAACAGCCAAGGGGCATCGCAGCTGAGCGGGCTGACCTCGGTGCCTGTGGTCGCGGGAGGGCATCGAGCGGGAGCCGAGCGGGCCAATCCCTGCGGTATCAAGAGTTTGACAAGCGCGGTACGGCGGTCGGACTGTCAGAATGGGCACCGATTGGCTGTCGGCGAAAAAAAGGAGCGAGCCGCCGCCGCCGCCGCCGCCCGGGAGCAGTGGCGAGGCCAGGAGGCGAGTCTCGTTCTGCGGTCCTGTCGGGAGCAGTTCGCGGAGAAGCGAGTGCCAAGAAATGCGGAGGCTGAATGCGACATGTGGTCTGGAGCACTTGTCGATTTGCGCAACTCGCCTGCGTCGACTGCAGAGACCCTGGCTAGACGTTCAGACCGCGCTCCAGCCTAGGCACCTCGCAACGCGATCCTGCCCACGACAAATTCGCCTGCCTGGTGAAAATGGGCAACCCCGCGTCGAGGGTTCCATTCGCCCAACGTCGCCGGCCAACGCCGGTCAAGTCGCGCACTCCGAGCATCGACACAAGGACGCATCACGCCAGCCATTGGCTCATCATTCCCCAGCTCCTGTGCATAATCCCGAAGCTGCACGCACCAACAAGACTGCCAAGACTTGGTTGTGCATGACAGCTGAGTTGCACCGCAAAACGTCGTTTCGCCGATTCGCATTTCTCCGTCCGTCCCTCGGAACGGATTCGCAGCACCCAATACCCACACTCCTTGCTCCCGACAAGCCAGACGGATCATTCCGGAACGACATTGGTGGCGCAAGACATGCCCAAGAGAGAGACGCAGAGACCGCTGGCGAACTCCTCTGCTCGGCACTCGTCGTTCTGAAGCAGCGCAGTCCCTTCTCAACGGCAGAACCGTCCAGTACAGAGATCCTCCTTTTGCCATGCAGGAACCTGCGCTAGCGCATCTCAAACTTTGCAGCTCGCCGACGTTCCTTTGCTTTCCTGGTGCTGGCTCAGCCGCCGTGCTCGAAGTGGCAAGGCAGAATCCTCGAGCCTTCATTGGAGCGGGGCTCCGCCTGGCCATGTGTCGACCCCACAGTGTTCCCCGCGAGTTGCGAAAAACGTATATATCGTGCCCTTAGGTCCCTGTCGCTTGGTAGTCCCACAAGATCCAAGCATCCTTCCCCTCTCTCGCTTGGCCCTACTCCTGCACTTGCTCTTGATCATACTCGGCGAAAGATGTTGCTCTCCCACTTGCGAGACACGCCTCGCGAAGCGCGCGGCTGGCGCCTCTGGTTCAGCGCTTGGGCAGTTGGTGCCCTTGGCATCTCCCGAGGTCTGGACGAGGGCATCATCTCTGGTGTTCTCAAGCAGCACAGCTTCATCAAGACGTTTGGCTTCGATGACAACTCTCCTCAGGAAGCGACCATCGCGTCCCAGCTCCAGCTCGGCTCGGTTGCCGGCTCGGCCATCGCCTTCTTCCTCTGCGATCGCCTCGGCCGTCTTCGCACCTCGATGCTCGCCTGCTTGCTCTGGCTCTTCGGTACGGCCATCTGGATGACCTCTGCCGGCGTGAACGGCACCCACTCCCCCGGAAACTACCAGCAGCTCCTCGCCGGCCGCTTCATCGCCGGCCTCGGCGTCGGCTTCACACCCGTCGTCGCCCCCGTCTATCTCGCCGAGATCGCTCCCAAAGCGATCCGTGGTCTCACCGTATGCATTTTCTCAGGCAGCGTGTACATCGGTATCCTACTTGGTGCGTACTCAACATCCCGGCGCTCATACGAGTCGACTGGAGGAGCGACGAGCAAAGAAGAACATGGTACTGACGATTTCTATTCTTTGATGGTTGCGGTTTTTGACGGCGTTTTGTGGATTTGGTGGGGCTTCACTTCATTACTCTGCACATTGTTTAGGCTACTGGAGCAACCTCGGCACTTCGATTCACTACGACGATGCAAGGCAGTGGACGATCCCCGCTTCCATCAACTTCATTTTCGCCGGTCTCACGTTCATCGCCTGCATCTTTGCCAAGGAGTCGCCTCGATGGCTCATCAAGCAGGGACGCTACGAGGAGGGGCGAAAGACGCTCAGCTACCTTCGCAATCTTGACGAGGATCATCCCTACATTGTCAACGAGGTCGAAGTGATGGAGCAGCAGATCATCGCCGAAAAGGAGGCGCTCGAGGGCCTCAGCATCTTCCAGATTCTCAAGAAGCTCGTCACCAACAAGAACAACCAGTACATCCTTTTCCTCGGCCTTGGCATCCAGGTGCTCGGTCAGATGAGCGGCGGTGGTGTCTACACCGTCTTCGCACCCAAGATCTTCGGACTTCTCGGTGTGCCTGGAGGACAGAGGACCAAGCTTCTCACCACCGGTATCTTTGGTATTGTCAAGCTGCTCAGTTCGCTCGCTGCCGCCTTCTTCCTTGTCGACATGCTCGGAAGGAAGACGGCTGTCACCACCGGTCTGCTGCTGCAGAGCGTGTGCTCGCTCTACCTTGCGCTCTTCCTCAAGTTCACCTCCGGTGTCACCAAGGCCAACGAGACGCACTCGGACAAGTCGGCTGCTACGGGCGCCATCTTCTTCTTCTATCTCTCGGGTCTGGCTTGGGCCATCGGTGTCAACTCGGTGCAGTACCTTACGCAGACCGAGATGTTCGACATCACGGTGCGAGCGCTGGGTGTTGCCATCGTGTCGCTGGTCCACTTTGCCATGCAGTACGCGGCCACTCGTTCGCTCAACCCAATGCTCCATGCTTGGGGCAACTTTGGCACCTTCCTCTTCTACGCCATGATCGCCCTCACCGGATGCCTCTTCGTCTTCTTCTTCATGCCCGAGACGGCCGGCATGCAGCTCGAGGACATCCACCAGCTCTTCGAGAAGCCCTGGTACCGTATCGGCTGGACCGCCAACCGTCCCGCCAACAGGAAGAGCGCCTCCTCGGCAAAGGTGGAGGCCGACGAGTCGCAGGACGGCGCCGATCTCGCCTACTCGGCTCAGCTCGGCCAGAAGAAGTCCATCGAGGAGGAGGAAGACGAGAAGAAGCACTGAAAAGCCCGAGTCTCGCCATGACCGGCCCGCGCTCGCAAGCCGGCTTGGCTGCGTCTCAAGCTCGTCATCCCATAGCATGTTGCAATTTGTAAAAGTGATCTCCATCCTCGCCTGACTGTGTCATCTGCGATTGGAAGGACGCGAGAGAGACGAGGCTTCTCGAGTTCTGCAGAGAGTTTGCGTCACGGCCACCAAGAGCGACGAGGTGCTCCTGTACATACTGTGAACAGCAGAGAGCCCTCTGCGGGACGCTCGAACCCACCATGCCCCTCTTGGCCCTGATGCCGACATCTTCATCTCTCCTGCGTTGCGGCTCTCGATTGAAATGCAGACTCAGCAATATTTTTGGAAATTCTGCTAGCGAATCCACCTTAACAGCGTCGACTTTTTCCGTGCTTGTCTCCACACGCCGAGGCTGAGTTGGTCACGGCGCCGGTGGTCCGGGAGCTGGATGAAGCCGATCCGATTCCGTTGCTCGTTACTGAAGTCACATCCACCTCTCAAACGACCACCCGCCTTCCACAGTGTTGGACAAATTCGTAGACATGGCCATCATCGTTCACCATCTCAATGATTCGCGGTCGCAGCGCGTCCTCTGGCTGCTGGAGGAGATGGGCATCGACTACGAGATCAAGCACTACAGCCGAACCGCGCAGGGCACTGCACCCAAGGAGCTTCTCGACGTCCATCCGACAGGCAAGTCACCTCTGATCACCGATACGACCAAGAACAAGGTGGTCGCTGAGTCCGGTGCCATCGTCGACTATCTCATCCGGCATTATGGAGAGGGACGCTTTGTACCGGCTGATCCCGAACGCATCGATGACGACGTCTACTTTAACCACTTTGCGGAAGGATCTCTGATGCCCACGCTGGTCATGAAGCTGGTATTCAGCATGATCCCAGCCAAGATGCCGTTCTTCGTGCGCCCAATCGGCAACGCGATTGTCAGCAATGTCAACTCGGCTTTCCTGGACCCGGATCTGAAGCGCAAGTCCGACTTTGTTGCGGACGAACTCGTCAAGAAGTGCGACGGAGGCAACGGATGGTTTGCTGGCGGCGACAAGGACGGCAATCCCACCTCGGCGGATTTCCAAATGGCGTTCCCCCTCGAAGCGGCTCTCTCGGGCCGAATCTCGAACCTGCCGGCTTCCATCAAGACTTACGTCGACAAGGTTCACGCTCGACCTGCCTTCAAACGAGGTCTCGAGAAGGGTGGCCCCTATAAGTACGCTTGAGCCATGGACCCGCTGCCGCTCGCACCTCCAGCTGGCTCATGTATGTTGCTGTTGACCCAACCGGAATATAAGCTGCTTCTCGAACACCCGATCCAGATTTCACAGCTTCATCCCGATGCGCGACCAACCAGGAGGGTTGGAGTTCCTGCATGTCTTGCCAGCATCCGAAGTGCGGAACCAGTCAGTATGCGCGCCCGTCAATGCGCTTCCTCCACGCATCCACGACGCAAATGCCCTTGACTGGTGTCAGCGACAGATCCCGCAAATGCCAATGGGTGCCAACGTTTCGCGTGCCTCTCTCCGAACTTCTGCCGACACAGCAGGCGCAATGAGGAGTTTGAGATGCTGAGCTCGTATGTGAGCGTCAATTTTTCATGCAGTTCGGCGTGACGCTGAGCGAAGAACATGGGGGTGAGGTTTTTGTGTTTTGTACAAAAAGAAAAAGTGATGCAAGGAACGACTCCGCCGACGTCTGGCTTCAGTCGGAAGCCCTGATCACCGTGATCTGGGGATGTGGCGGGGTCGAGACGGGGAACGAGGACGAAGAGCAACATGCGCTGGGCAATCGGGGTGATTTAGCGCATGATGATACCGTCGAAGCGCTGCTTGAACCAAGCGGCAGTCTCCTCCTTCTTGACACGGTGGGGGGCACCGACACGGGCGACGCGCTGCTTGCGGCGAGCGACACGGGAGCCGGCACGGGTCATGCAGACGAAGAAGTCCATGCCGAAGATACCGATGGAAGGGTCGTACTTGATGCCGAGGTCGATGTGCTCGGTGATACCGAAACCGAAGTTGCCGGTGTCGGAGAAGTTTCGGCGGCGGAGCTCGTACTCCTTGACCTTGAGACCGCGCTCGATGATCTCCTCGGCCTTGGGGCCGCGGATGGTGACGTGGCAGGCGATCTTCTCGTTACGGCGGATACCGAAACCACGGAGGGTGTAGCGAGCCTTGCTGGTGACGGGGGTCTGACCAGTGAGCTGCTCGAGCACCTTGGTGGCACGGGTGAGCCTGTCACCCGACTCACCAACGGAGATGTTGACGACGAGCTTGTCAACCTTGAGCTCCTGTTTCGTGGGGAGAAGCGAAGGGGAGAAAATGGGATACAGGGTCAGCTGGTGCAAAAGAAGAGTACGGGTCCACTCGGCGCGGTCATGTTCGTGAAACCAAAGCACAGTGGTCAACCGAGCCAACGGAGCGAGACGCGGTTGTTGAAAACGGTGCTGGTGGATGTGCGAGACGAGATGTCGATGCTGGTCGTGATTTGGGCGACAAAGGATGAAGAATGATGCAATGTTGCTGCCGTGGCAGTAAACGCAGTCTGTCGTGTGTGTTGTGACCACGTGCTGAATGACTTTCCGCTGCATCGCGCCACTGTTGTCAACGTCCGACGCTTGTGCAAGTACGCAAGCGGCAAAGTCGAGTGCGCGGGGCCTGACGTCCTGTGGCGGCCTGACCACTGTGTTGATGGTGCACGCCTCGGGTCCTCGATCTCATCCCGCATTGCCGCTGCATCAATAAGTCCGCTGTCTTCCCAATCGAGGCCAACCGGGAAGCACCGATCCATTCCACTTCTGCTGCGGCTGTGCGTGCAAACGTCGGAAGAGAGGCTGGGAGATTGCATGTGTGCTGGAGTTGCCGGATAGGTGTGCTTCTGCGTTCTGAGTCACAGCACAAGCCGGCTGTGCGTGGGCATCTCTGAGGTGTATGACGGTCGCTGTCGCTAGATGAGGAGCATCTCGTCGATGGGCAGTTGAAGCATGTCGAACGATGCGGTCGGTTGCAATGTGTGCTGGTTGGCAATCGAGTGCGTGTGGTATCGGCGAACATGACGATGCTGAAGTGGTGCGCCGGTGCGGCCGTTGCGAATACGAGTATACCAACCTTCATAGGGTTAATGGCCTTGCTAGACTCCGCCATCTTGACAAATATTCGGTGATGATCTTGATGGTTGATCGTGACGAAGATGGTGGTGCCAAAGCGGTGTGCGAAGTCTTGGTGCGCTCTCTGTGGTGCTGCCTCGGTGCAGTGGGCGCGGGTCAAGCCGAACTGGGCTCGCAGCAGGCAAGCGCGGCTTCAGGCAACTCGGGCGACTCGACGCTGAAATTCCAAGCACGAGATGCAGCGGCAGTGGCCACTGTGCGTGAGCTGCCGCGGTCAAGAATGGACCGCCGTGTGCAAAGCTCGGCCGAGCTTTTTTGGCATCACGTGGCTCGAAAAAAAACTGCGAATATTTTGAGACTCGGTGGGCTTAACAGCGTTGGCTCGGAATCGGCGATTTGTCAAATCCCCCATTGCGATCCACGATGCGTCGCTCGATTATGTTCGGGAAAGTGCCAGGGTTTCTGATCTGGCCAGGGGCTCAGGTGGAGCTGGCGAGAGCCGGGCGCGACAGACGACATGCAACCGACGACACTGAAATCGAGCTCGATTGCTAAAGCAGCAAAGCAGCGAGCGCGAGGCGATGATGACTGACCATGATGCCAGTCTGCTAAGCGTTGTAGCGTTGTGTCGAGAGGCGTGCGTAAGCCATGTGCGGCTTGGATGGGCAGCTGTGTGGGGCCTTGAGCGTCTGCTTTTCCTTCGTGCGATGCCGCTTCGCCCAGGACCGTGTTTCAGTAGCGGGTCGCCCACTCATCGTGCACACCTTGAGCTTCCACGATAGCGATGTGCGGCGAGCGCCATGGTGTTGAGCAATCGCCGATTGAGCTGACCCAACGGACGGCGTCGCCGCTACACAGAGATAAGAGGCACCGACATGCAGGATCGGGCCAGTCTGGCAATCTCTCACGGTGGTGCTAACGGGCTTGACGGTCGCGGTCAGCTGAGCTCCGCATTCCTCGTGACGCGCGCATCGAGGCGTCTCACCTCACCTCACCTCACCTCACCTCACTTCTGCCCAGCCCAGCTGGCTCCTCGCCTGTGTGTCTTGCTTTCCAGCGGGCTTTCGAGCTTGCACAATCGGCCGCCATTCGTCGATAGGCCGCCTACTTATCGCATCGTATCTACAGTACAGCATCGAGTGTGCGCTTGTCGGCATGATAAGGACCGAACGTCGAATTGTATGCCACGGCCTGGCAGATCGCGCCCAAGCTGAGGCAAGGCATAGTCTGCACACAGAGTCGGGACTGCGTTCGTCTTCCCGAGGGGAAGCCCGCTGGACGAACGGGCAGAGCGCAGAAGACCCGGCCTTTCTGGCGGGGCTTTGACTCAGAGTGTCCCCGCCCCCGCATCCGTAGCCCATCGCGCGCCGCTCTGGAGCGAAGGCTGCCAGGCCATAGAGGCCAGCTAGAGGCGTCCAATTTTGGGGGGGCTCACTCTCCACAAGACAAAAAATCCAATTAAATAAAGAAATTGGGAAAACTCAAGGCGAAAGCATGCAGCACATCTGCACCGCCTGCCGATGGTCGGGAATGGCGTGCGGGTCTTGCGTGCCTCGCACCCTCCAGCCCTGAACCCTAACCCTTGCGCCCACAACTGGCTAGTGGCTGCACTCAGACATCGACCTACCTAGGCGGTTCGGTTGTGCGAGGGCACACTTCTGCTGTAATGTGCTGTTTCTCTTGGTCCACTCAGGCTCGGGTAAGGAAGATGCGAGCGGTGCGGCAAGTCCGTTGGCTGAAATGAAGCCGTATCGTAGGCGCATCATACCGTGTGCTCGCGAGCCAAGCCACAGAGAGACAGAGAGGCAGCCAGGAATTTTGAAGAAGTGCACAGGCAAAATTCAAAAATGACGACAACGAACACGTCGAGGCGAGCCGATGAGCCATGAGCTGAGAGGGAGAGAGTGCAGTGGTCAGGCGCCTCGTCCCGTCTGCATCTCCCTGCGTGTTCGGACCAACAACACCTGCACCGCTAAACCCCTCTCCCTCTCGGCCTCTCGCCGCACTGCCCCGGCACACTGCCGGCCGTCAGCCTCAGGAGGCCAACACGCCGCTCTCCGCCCATTCGCCGGCACAGCGTCTGTCGAGGCTGCTCCCTCATCCGCTGTGTTTGGCCTGTCATCTTGAGGAGCACAGCATCACGCCAGCCAGAGCCACGCCCTCTGGCCATCCTGGGCGATCCTCGTCAGGAACATCTCGCACTCGCAACACCTTGCCTCTGGCGCTGCCTCCAGCCGATGCCTCTCCCATCTGGCTTGGCCCAACGTCATCTTTCTCCCTCTCTCTACCTCTCTTCTCGCCTCACCAACACATTCTCTCTTGGCGCATCTTGGTGCTCCCAACCACTCCCGGCCTGCTTCGCTTCTCGACACCGCCTTGCAACGCTCGCCGCTGATATGCACCTCTCCCTATAGCATTCGGCTTCTCGAGGCTAGGCTCGTTCCAACCCCACCTGTGCTCTCTGGCCTCGTATCACCGGCACACCGCATCTCCCTTCTCGCCATCAACCGGCAGTCTCGACACCACGCGACACCAGCATCACAACGTCCCACGCCAGCCATCGCACGTACAATGTCGATTGGCCCCCTGACGCTCTCTGTCTAGTCGCACGGCTCTCCACCAGTTCCCCAGCCATCACCGTTCTCTTGGTCGTCCTCACCGATCTGCCTGCTTCACCATGACCGTCGCAGTCGACTCCGGCTCAACGTCGGCCACCATGGCTGCAGCTTCCGTTTCGGACGACAGCGCCGCGTCCAACGGCGCGATAGAGCCGCCTGATTCCGTGCAAGCCGTATCTGCAGGTCTGTGCAGCCTTGCCATCTCCAGCGCCCACACCTCTCCGTCCAAACCTCGACACTCTGCGTCAAGTCCAGCACCGGCGCCTGCCCTGGGCGCCTCGTATCCACCCCCCACTTCCGCTTCCGCATCTCGGCTCGCCGACCGTCTCCACCACCCTTCCTCTGGTCATCACCCAACCGGCAGCTCCTACTCCACCAGCCCCGCCAGTCGACATGGCCGCCACTTTGCCATGACCAACTCGGCATCCGTCGACTCCAACCTCAGTTACGACGGTCTTTATCCCGTGCCCGCGAGTCCGAGCATGAGCGAGGCGCTCACCGACAGCCCGGGCAGCGTCTCCAGCATCAACAGCTTCCGACGTGGCGACCTTGCAGACATCGAGGACCTCGACCTCGAGCCCGAGCTCGAGACCGTGAGCGAGTGCGACGAGGAGTCGAGCAGCCTCTGCTCGCTTGACATTGGTGTCGACCTCGACTCGGATTCGGAGCGCGCAAGCTCTCACGGCGGCGACGCCGAGTCCCTGTCCAACGCCGGCTTCCCGCTCGGCCTCGCCTCGTCCCATTCCGCCCGCCATACGCCGCATCGACCCGCCTCGCACGGCACGGCCGCCTCCGACTACGCGCGTCGCAAGCGCAGCGAGTGGCTCCTCCACAACTACGCCAACAAGATCGCCGCTCGCCGTCCCCGCCGCATCAAGAAGGGCCGCATCACCGAGATCGTCGAAGAGGGCGGCGAGTGCATCAACACCACCGTCATGCCCAAGCAGTCTCTCGCTTCCAGCCCTTCAGACTGGTCTTGCGATGTTTCAGGCCCTCCGCTTGCCCCTCCACGCAGTGTCAGCCCTTCCGATACCGTCCCCGCTGTCCCTTCTCCGCTCTGCTCGTGCGTTAGCGCAGATGCCAACCCGGCTCCGACGGGCCTCGAAGCGAGTGTCGAGACCATCAAGTCGGACCCCACTGCAACACATCTGGCCCTACCGGCAGCGGAGGGCGCTGCTGCACATGCATCGGCGATGCCTCCCTTTGCCGAAGGGCGTTTGGCACCTTCGAGTGTCGATCAGATCGACGACGGTTCGATCGAGACCGCCTCACAAGCGTCGCCGCCGCGTCTTTCCCGCACCTCCAGCCGACGCAACTCTTCGCCTGTCAAGCTTCGGCCCTGCTTCCGCCGGCAGCCCTCACAACAGTCGGCTGCCTCGACGCGCGAGTCGTCGTGCGAGCGCGACCCACCTCGCGGTCGCTCCGTGCGTTTCAGCAGCAGGCCGCCGCAGGAGCTGCGCACACACAGCCCCGTCGAGTACGACCGCAAGAGCTGCCCCGTCAACAATCGACTCAGCCCGGCGGACGTGGAGGAGCTGCGCACCATGAAGATGGAGATGGGCCTCTTGGAGGCAAGATGGGCTGCCGTCGCCGCTTGCAAGCCCAAGAAGGTCGCAGGCACCGAAGGCACCACCAAGCCCGAAAACTACAACGCCTACAACGCCGGCATCGCTGCCATGAGCGCTTCGCGCGAGCGCACCCCAGCTTGCGGCGCCGAGTCCGATTCGACGCTTGGACCTGGCTCGCTCGGAAGCGCGGCGGCTCGCTTGCGCCAGCAGAAGGAGCGAGAGCGTCTACAGGAGCGTCAACGCAATCTGCCTCACTACCTACGCAATCGCTCCAGCACGGTCTCGAGCCCCGCCGAGTCGCTCTCGTCCGAGGCATTATCCATCCGCAGCAAGTTTGGCCACGCGCCTCCGCCCCCGCTGCCAGGCACGCCGGCTGCTCGCGCCGCATCCATGTCGCCGAGTCGCTCGACCTCGGTACCTCCCGGCCAGCGTCTGGGCTTGGAGCCCGGTTCGGCTCCGCGTCGTCTCAGCTGCCAGTCGATTCCCAGCTCGCATCGCCCCGAAATTCCCGTGCTCACGCAGACCAGCCCTTCGCCGCCACTGTCACCACTGCATCCGCGCACCAACTTTGATGCTGCACAGGCCGATGCATCGAAAGCAGCTGATCGATCGGAATCGCGGCGGCTCTCGGCCACGTCGCTGCCGGAACGCGGCAGGTCGACTTTGTGTGCCACGCCAGGATCGGCTTCGCCGTGGTCGAATGGACCGGCCTCGGCCACCTCGTCGATCTTTTCGAGCACGTACTTTCCCAGCGCGCCGCCCACGCCTTGCGCCAGCTATCCCGGTGGCAATGGCTACGACAGCCCCGCCTCGGAGTTCTACGAAAGTGGCAGCGAATACGACATGGTGTGCTGAACACCGGCGCCTCCTCTGCGCTTGGCTCAGCTCGACGCGCGCATCTCTTCCTTCCGCTTCCGTCATAGCATGGCTTTCACGCTCCCGGTATTCCCCTGGCATTCCTCTCGATCCCCTTCTGTTTGCACGCGCTTTGCCACGAGCCTTGCATCGTCACCCGATGCTAGTAACGTCGGCAGATGCGGTGCCACTCTGTTTATTTCCCTGCATCTCTCCCAGTTTCCTTTGCTCTGTCTTGTCCCTTTCTCCTTGTCACCGTACACTCGCATCTTGTTTTGTCGTTGCTATAGTCGCGCTTCCGGTGTTTCCTTGTACACTATCCAGCTCTCTGTCGTCGAATGGTACATCCTCCCTCGATCTGAATGTCGGTTTGAGCTAGCTTGTCGCACAGCCATGTCTAGCAACGGCGACCACGAGGGAACCATGAATCTCACGCCTGTCGAAGACTGCCAGACGGCCAAACCTGACCCGACTTGACTGGCTGCAGTGTTTGCCGGACGCCTCGACCCCGACGAGCGTATCGGCAGACCGTCGATCGGCCATCCATCGGGCGTCGAGCAGAGGAGCGCGTCGCGTGAAGTGGTCTCGCGCCTCCGCCCGTGGCTCTTCGCGCCAGAGCAGGGCAGCCCAGCGGCGGTCTATTTTGAATCCTCTTGACAAATTCTCGATCGACGGGCACATGAGCGAGGCACCAGAGCGGTGGCTCGAGAAATTGCACGCACCTCAACATCGTGAGTGTGAAATTCTGAAAAATTCATCTCTGTCCTGCGCTGACATCACGCCCGAGATCGGCACCAGAGCAGTGGACGAGCAGTGTCGAAAAAAAAGGGCCATTCCATTCTCTCGCAGGTCAAAAATTTTGCGCCACCGCCCGTGGGCGAGCTCAGCTGAACCCCTGAAGCTGACCGTCCACACACACGCCTGCTGCCCCAAAAGCTTCGACGCGGCTCAGTCAAGATTTATGTTGCCACCGCAGCCCTCGCCGAGGCTGCCGCAAGCAAGCGTCAGATCTTCGTTGTAGCGCTGGTGAGCTGTGAGTTTTTTTTTCGAATTCCAGTGCGATTCGTCCGATGTCACACGCCAGCCAAGGCCACAGCCAGCGACCGAAGAGGAAGGGGGGCGTTCGACAGCAAGCGTGTGCTGCCACGCCGCCGTGTGGGGCCTCGGATTTTTCGACTCAGCCACTTGCTGGCCGCACCTACAATTTCAGCAACGTCTCCTTCATCTCTTCCTCCTTCTCCACCATCTCTTCTTACTTCCCCCCCTTTCCCCCCCAATCATGACTTTCGAAAACAACACGAACCAGCAGAACGGTGCTGGCGCCGCCGGCCTCGAGTCCAGGTTCGCCAACATGTCGGTTCAGAACGGTGCCGCTGGCGGTGCTCCCCGCAAGGCGTATGTCCCCCCGCATCTCCGTGGCCAGCAGAACAACGCTTCGCTCAACTCGTCGGCAGCATCCTTCAGTCCGCGTGCTCCTGCCGCCTTCAACTCCAACGGCAACGGCGACGGCGCAGGTGCTCCCCCTGCGCCCGCCGCATTCAGCAGCTTCAACCGCGGCGCTCCTCGTGGCGGTGCCGGTGGCTGGGACACGCCTTCGTCCGGTGGCTACGGCGGCGGTGCCGCGCGTGGTGGCGGCTACGGTGGCGGTGCCCGCAACGACGGCTTTGGTCAGTGGAAGGACGGCCAGCACGTCCCCGGCGCTCCCAACCCGCGTCTGCAGAAGCAGCTCTTCGGTGAGGAGGGCGACGGTCTCCACCAGAGCATGGGTATCAACTTTGACAAGTACGGCGACATCCCCGTCGAGGCGAGCGGACGCGACGTCCCCGAGCCCGTCACCACCTTCACCTCGCCCCCGATCGACGCCCACCTCCTTGAGAACATCAAGCTTGCGCGCTACACCAACCCCACCCCCGTTCAAAAGTATTCGATCCCCATCATCGAGCTTGGCCGTGACCTGATGGGCTGTGCCCAAACCGGTTCCGGTAAGACGGGTGGTTTCCTCTTCCCCATCCTCTCGGCCCTCTTCACCCACGGCCCGCCTCCCCCGCCTGCCGAGATGCAGCACGGTGGCTTTGGCCGCAGGAAGGCCTACCCCAGCACGCTCATCCTCGCTCCCACTCGTGAGCTCGTCTCGCAGATCCACGAAGAGGCTCGCAAGTTCACCTACCGATCCTGGGTCAAGCCCGCCGTCGTCTACGGCGGTGCCGACATTGGCTCTCAGCTTCGCGAGATCGAGCGCGGCTGCGACCTCCTCTCGGCCACCCCCGGTCGTCTCGTCGACCTGATGGAGCGTGGCCGCATCAGCCTCAGCAACGTCCGCTTCCTCGTGCTCGACGAGGCCGACCGCATGCTCGACATGGGTTTCGAGCCCCAGATCCGACGCATCGTCGAGGGCGAGGACATGCCCGGCGTCATGGACCGTCAGACGCTCATGTTCTCCGCCACCTTCCCGCGCGACATTCAGCTCCTCGCCAAGGACTTCCTCAAGGAGTACGTCTTCCTCTCGGTCGGCCGNACCGTCAGACGCTCATGTTCTCCGCCACCTTCCCGCGCGACATTCAGCTCCTCGCCAAGGACTTCCTCAAGGAGTACGTCTTCCTCTCGGTCGGCCGTGTCGGTTCGACTTCCGAGAACATCACCCAGAAGATCGAGTACGTCGAGGATGACGACAAGCGCTCCGTGCTTCTCGACGTGCTTGCCTCCATGCCCACTGGCGGTCTCACCCTTATCTTTGTCGAGACCAAGCGCATGGCCGACATGCTCAGCGACTTCCTCCTCCGCTCCAACATCGCCGCCACCTCCATCCACGGCGACCGCACCCAGCGCGAGCGTGAGCGTGCTCTCGAGCTCTTCCGTTCGGGCAAGACGCCCATCATGGTTGCCACCGCCGTCGCCGCCCGTGGTCTCGATATCCCCAACGTCACCCACGTCGTCAACTACGACCTCCCCTCGGACGTCGACGACTACGTCCACCGCATCGGCCGTACCGGTCGTGCCGGTAACACAGGCCACGCCACCGCCTTCTTCAACCGCGGCAACAAGAACATTGTTCGCGACCTCATCGAGCTGCTCAAGGAGGCCAACCAGGAGGTTCCTCAGTGGCTCGAGGCTGTGGCCCGCGAGAGCATGTTCGGTGCCGGCGGCGGCGGACGCGGCGGTCGCGGCCGCGGCCGTGGCCGCGGCGGTGCCTCGTCCATCGGCAGCCGCGATGCCCGCACCATGAACGGTCCCGCTGGCGGCAGCCGTGGCTTCGGTGGCGGCTTTGGCGGTGGCATGGGCGGTGGCTACGGCGGTGCTGGTGGCCTCGGCGGCGCTGGCGGCTACGGCGGCCCTCCCCCTGCCTCCACCGGCGGCAGCTACGGCGGCAACTCGTCTTGGTGGTAAACGGTCGGCGTGCCCCGCCGGTGGAGAGATTCAGCATACACAGCCTCGATCGATCCTTTCACTGCGCCACTCTCCGCGTCCCCACGTTCCCTTCTCCGTTTCCCTCTCTGGCCCCTCTACGAACGCACGAACATCATCCAAAAAGCATAGCGGACAATTTTCTCTCGGCTCGACTCTTTTCTCTTCTTCGCCGAAGAGCGCTCCCTCGCAGGCGATCCAATCGCCCGAAGGAGTTCTCTTTCTTCTTTACCTCGCATCTGCATGGTCACTTCGAGCCAAAGCCTCGACCGTACCGTCGGGTCGTGCGGCTTGGATTTTTCAGCTTGGTCGTCAACACAGTATTGACCACGACTCTTCAGAGTGGTTCTCATCCGGTTTCGATAATACGCATCCACCCTTGCATCACTTAGAGAGTCACGATCAAGCACACCCGTATTAATTTCAGCATCAAGATACCATGCACGCAACAGTTTCCCCATCTCGCAAGTAGTACGGTCCCGTCCATCGCAGTCAAGCAGACTCCCCCGCGCATCACGGTCGATGCGCCCCCAAAATCACTTTGGTCCCTCCAGCAATGGTTTCTCTTCGGTCTGCTCGCATTGGGCCCGTCCTGCATCTAGGCCTGGCCGGCGCCTGGCGATTGGCTCCCCGCTTGTCTCACAACGACGAGGCTGGGCCACTTCATCGTCGCCACTAGCGTCGTCCTCGGCTCCTCTATACCCCTTTCTTCGTTCCCAACAAATTGTCTGTCTGCTTCGTCACTCCACTGTGCTCCGATCTTTGCTGTGCGCCATCCTTGGTGCGCTGTAGAGATCGTCGCACCTTTTTCCCCACCATTCGTGTGTACCTTCAGTGGCCATCTCTCCAGCGCCTTGGCTGGTCCGTCGACGAGTTCACTCGGCTCCATCGATATGATCAGGCACCGCAATCGTTGCCACATTTCTTCATGTAGATATTCCTTCAAATCACTTGTCCATACGTTCTGTCGCATTGAAGCTTGCCAGCCCTGTGTCGTCCCTTGCGTGTGAGCTGCTCGTCTCTAAATTGACCGATCTGATCGCATTGATCAGGTCGCGGCAGGCCATGCGAAGCGGCGCGTTGGCGATTCGTGGCATGTCGGTGCGACCTGAACGTCAGTTGCAGAAACCCGAGTTGCGGGTAGGGCCGACCGCCACATGTCGCACAGTCGCCGGTACACGGCAACTCGGATGGGAATGCCGCTGCCTTGAAGCGTGACAAAGCTATGCCAGTGGGTTTACAGCTATCACCGCGTTGGACGCCACACGTTGACGGCTCAAGCCTGGATTCGAGCCAAATTGCCGTCCAGCCGTACGGCGAACTCCGCACCGGGGGGCAGCATCTGGCGCACTCTCACGCCTCTGTCCCGTGGGCGACGCGGTTGTGGTCCGGCCGGTCCGGGCTCTGCCTTTGCAACACGTCGATTGCCGACGTCGCCAGGCGTTGTAGGAGGAAAGCAATCTACCATAATCAAACGGCCCATAACTCGCCAGTACCAGCGCAGTCCTGTCGATCGCCAGCTGCGACAACTACATAAGCCACGCCAACACCGTCCGCCAACACCGTCGTCTGGCTATGGCACAAGCATGTTTCGCTCCTACGCGCGCAAATGGGATGTTGCGAAAGTCCCACCATGGCGCTCGGCTTGCCGAGCAAATCCCGACAACGCTTCTCGGGCTGTAAAGCATCGAGTGTTGCCAGTTTTGACCCGGGGATCTGGTGCACCAGCAAGCATCGCCAGGCAGCGCTTTCGTCGTGAGGGCTATTGATTGGACAACGCGGAAAGCGTGCTAAAAGGGGGGGAAGGGGGTACTTCAGCGAGGCAGTCCTGAGACAGACGGAGGCGGAGTTCATCCTGATCCTCCACCGACCCAACCGGTGCATGGTGTCCACGATCCGCATACACTTCAACACCATCAAGACCCAAGACGGCAAGAATTTGATGATCACCGACATCATGGCAAGTGGACAAGAGCCCGAGGAAAGGCAGGAAGGCGTCCGATACCGAGGACGACGAGAGCGACGCAACAGTACATTTTGAGCCCTCTGGGGCTCCAGAATTCAGCCTGCCGGGATGGATGCGAGAAGAGCCGGTTGATGTCGTGATGAAGGAAGAATCGAGAACGAGTGAGCTCATGCCTTCCGATCCTGGAACGGAGTTCACGGATGGGTGTTACCTATGGGTTGCCCGAATTGCATCTCGAATGAGCATGTTTACGGTGGGCGCCATCCATGCGGCCCTGGACACCAGTGTTGACAATCACCCACCCGAAGCAGTTGATCGGCAAGGCCGGATGGCAAGGACAAGAAGTCCCTGCAGGGACGGCTCTAAGAACGAATAAGAACAAAGAAGGCATCCGGATCAAGGTGCGCCATGAGGGACCGCTGAAAGCGATGTTGATGCTTGGCAAAGAGTTGGTTGTGGCTCTCGCGTCAGATCAATTCTAAATGAGTGCCTCAGTGACGACGCCTATACAGCTTCACGATACGGCGGCATTGCCTCCTAGGTACGCGGATGGATTATGCTCGGTCATCAACGGGACGCATGCCAAGAATGGAGTCTGCATGGAGTCTCGAATGGCTGTTGCCCGACATGCTGGCAAGCCGAGGTCCCACAGAGCCATAATCCCTAGGCGACCTGCAATCTAAGCGTAGAGTACAATCAGGACGCCCAATACCGGGTTCAGACAACCATCGCTACGCCAGAGGTGCCGTCGGCCAGGCACCACAAACACCGGGCCTTCGCCACGAAGTTTTCGCACTCTGCGGCCCAACCCCGCGCCCGAGCGAGGCGACGAGCGCAGAGAGCAGACGCTGGCCCAACCACAAGCCCCAGGCAAGTCTCACAGCAAAACGAACCGGAAGACAGCTCTCCGCCAAAGAGTTCCACGCGATGAGGACAAGCTCGAGGTCACAGCCGTTGGAATGGCGACAGCACAAGACAGAACGCTAGGCGGCGAGCGCTGAAAGCGACAACGGCAACGACGCTCATGCGAACCGTGAATCGCACAACTGCTTGCCAAAAGGGCGCATAGGGTTAGGGGGGTTTCATCCGACGCGGTAGGGGGTGAGC